GGAATACTGCGTGCAATTCTGGTCTGGAAAGGGTTCAGAAAAGATTTACAAGGATGTTGCCAGGGTTGGAGGGTTTGAGCTACAGGCAGAGGCTAAATAAGCTGGGGCTATTTTCCCTGGAGTGTTGGAGGTTGAGGAGTGACCTGAGCGGTTTGTAAAATCATGAGCGACATGGATAGGGTAGATAGACAAATTATTTTCCTTGGGGTGGGAGACTCCAAAGCTAGACGGCATAGGTTTAAGGTGTCAGGGGAAAGATATAAAAGGGACCTAAAGGGCAGCTTTTTCATGCAGAGGGTGGTGCATGTATGGAATGTGCTGCCAGAGGAAGACTGGTACAATTACAACATTTAAAAGGCATCTAGATGGGTACATGAATGGGAAGGGTTTGCCAAATGCTGGCAAATGGGACTAGATTTATTTAGGATATCTGGTTGGCATGGACAAGTTGGACTGAAGGGTCTGTTTCCATGCTGTATATCTCTATGACTCTTTGATAATGGGTAGCACCGGGCATGCCGATTGTGAAGTCTGATGGGTTCGTTCATCTTTGTGGAGATTTTAAACAAACAGTAAAGCATTTCTCGCAGTTAGATAAATACCTAATCCTTCACATAGAGGACTTACACACAAAGCTGGTGGGGTGGCTGTCCTTCATGAAGCTAGACATAGCAATGCGTACCTGCAATTGAGGTTAGATGGGGACTCCCAGAAGTATACAATGAATACCCATAAGGGTTTGTACCAATATATAAGACTGCCATTTAGGATATCATCAGCCTCTGCCATTTTCCAGATGATGATGGAGACCACTTGACAAGTTCTACCCAGGATTACCATTTATCTGGGTGACGTGCTGACTATGGTAAAACCAATGAGAAGCACTTAGCAAACTTGGACATAGACATTTCTTCAAGATGGGTGTACGGCTTAGAAGGGAAAAAGGTGTGTTCTAGGCACCTCAAGTGACCTACTTTGGTTACAAGAGTTGACAAGACCGGGTTATACCCTTTGGAAGAGAAAGTTAGTGTGATCAAAGCTGCCTCAGCTCTCACGTCTGTAGCAAGCTTAGGTCTTTCCTTGGGTTGGTGAATTGTTTGCAGGAAGTTCGTACATAACCAGGCCTCCAGCCTGGCACCCTTACATCTGCTATTAAAAATGGTTATCCTTGGAAATGTTCTCGTAGCCAAGACATAGCCTTTAGGGAAGTGAAAAAGCAGCTATCATTGTCTTAAAGTGTTGGAACACTATGATCCCAAGTGAGGTATGGTGCTGACATGTGATACCTCCCTGTATGGTATCAGGATAGTGTTGCCTCACAGATGACCCAATAGAGAAGAATGCCTAATAGCATATACTTCCCGGACTTTGATTGATGCAGAGCCCAGACAGAGAAGGAAAGTTTGATCATCTGTGGTGTGCAACTACAGGGATATCTCCAGCAGAGTTGCTGATGGGGAAAAGACTCCACACTAGGTTAAATCTGACCTTCCCGGACCTGAAGGGGTGAGGATGAAATGGCAACAAGAATGCCAGTGCTGGACACAAGACTCCTCCAAGTAAGAGAGGCAGTTTACTTCAGGGGATGAAGTTTAGTATTTGAAACCACAGGAATGGCCCTGCATGGGTAAGTAGCATGGTCACCATGAGGTCAGATCCCATTATATACAAAGTTCGGGTAGCTGAGGCAATCCTGAACAGCATGTGGACCACATGAAAGCTGAAAACTCGCAAATAGGGCAGGAGCAAAACATATCTGGCCCCTCAGAACAGTCCAAAAGGCTGTCGGAACCGGTAGGGCCTCCCCCTACAATTAGCATCGAAGAAACCTTGGAGTCCATGGATCTCGTAGACTCATGCCTTTACTGCTTGAAGAAGAGGCTGAATTTCTTCCAAGACACTCTAGGTGCAAGAGGCAAGCTGTGGTCCGGTATCCGAGGCTGAATCGGAGGAACCGGACCCGGTGCAAAAATGATGCAGGAGAGGGTCCAAGAAAAAGAACAGGCCTAGGTCCCGGACTTAGAGGGGGAGGGACGTAACGAGATCAGCCACGTGGACCTCATGGAATAGAAACTCCCTGATTGGACCAGGTTAACAATCCCAATCAGGGAGCCTTGGCTGACAGATATCAACAGAAATATCAGCGTTTCTGTTTGCTCAAAGAGCTGGCTCTGAGCAAGCCAAACCCGTGTCAAGTACTATGCACGTGTAAATAAAAGGTGACTTGCTGAGGGGATACCGGCCTCTGTGGAATTATTTCAATACCCTGTCACATGGTATTGCTGCTGAGTCATGCCAACCAGGCGAATGTAAAAGATTCCAATGGTGCCATATAGTTGAGTAATGGGGGTGTTAACTCCATTCAGTTTTCTATTAAAATGTTCAAATAGTGGTCTCCTTTTCCTACCTTACCCTGTATTGATTAATACAAATGCCAGGATAATTTACCTTATTCACTACCAGTAATGAATTCAAATTATTAGAAGTAGTGGATATTCTTCATAAACTCCAAAGTACCATCTTTGTTTGAGAACATTTCTTTTCCTGAGGTACAGCTTCAAAATAGATTTGCCAACTGCATGATTTATCTTCTATTCTTACGGTTATACGTGTGATAGATGTGAAGAGGACTGTTCAGACAGTGCCCTTGATCACTTTTTTAAAAATATATTCATTCACAGGATGAGGGCATCGCTGACCAGGCCAGCATTTATTGCCCATCCCTAATTGCCTAGAGGGCAGTTAAGAGTAACCACATTGCTGCAGATCTGGAGTCACATATAGGCCAGACCAAGTAAGGATGGCAGTTTCCCTCCCTAAATGACATTAGTGAACCAGATGGGTTTTTTCTCTGACAATTAGCAATTGATTTATGGTCATCATTAGACCCTTAATTCCAGCTACTTATTTAATTAAAATTCCACCATCAGCTATGGCGGGATTCGGACTCAGGTCCCCAAAACATTACCTGGGTCTCTGGATTAACAGTCCAGCAATAATACCATTGCTTTCCTGTGTTTCCTATGTACTCCTGTGTTTGTAGAAGATGAGACAAAGCTTTAACTATCTGGTATGTTAAAACTGTACCCCCATTCTACAACACAAATCCATTGAATTACAGTCTCTACTCCTGAAACAGTACGGGACTGGGTGATTTCTCAGACAAAGGCTGGAAGCAATATATACCAATTGGTCAAACAAGGCAATGTGATCAGGGCATCCTAATATGTACAGTTCTTGTCCAGTACCATAGGAGAACAAATAAATAACATTGTTGAAGAAGACATTTTTTTCCAAAGCTTTTGGTCTTGCTCTCATCAGGACAGTTTGCAAAAAAATTGCAATGTAAAGGAAAACAACATTTTCAGACTATATTAGAAACGTTGCTGACTAATTGACAAGAGATCACTGATTGGTAAAGATGTTACCATGGAGAATGTGCCAGCTAGACGATGACCGAGTGTTAACCACCAAGTTTTACTTACATTTACCTTGTCCAGTCGTAGTCAGGCTGCCTGATGACTCTACAGTTCTCAAAGGATCACCTGTAAAACACAAATAGAAAGATTGTTCAAATCGATAAACTGTTTATATATATAGTTTTGACCAAACTGCAACAAGCGACAAGGTCAAACATAATAAGCCTTGTAATTCTGTCCAGAATTCTAATCTAAGGATCAGACAACTGCTTGTAAGAACTGCTGGAGAGACTGTAATGACAAATAATGGGTAAGAGTGAAGGAGATTGGGAGCAGGACACATTCAAATTGGTTGTGGTGACGTGTTCATTTTTGGAGGATGAAATGTTCAATTTTTTGAATGCCAACAGAGGAATGGCTGGGGACAAAGGAAGAAGAAGCTCAACCATTAAGCCTGCAAGTCCCCTATCACCCAAATGATTTGCAACATTAAACCCAAAATCCTCAGTATTAGCTGAGATGAGCTACTTCGTACGAGCATGGGAAGTTTGGAACTTGTGGATAGGAAGAGGCCATTCAATCCATCAAGCCCTTTCTACCACTCAACTATATTTTGGTTCTGATCTTTCTTGTTACTGCATCTTCCTAGTTTGTTCTGTAATTCTTAAATCCTTTACCTCAGAAAAAAAATCCATCATAGCTTTTAAATTTCCAATTGATGCCCAATCACAACAGCTTCATGGAGCAGTGAGATCCAGGTTTCCAACGCTGAATGGTTCAGTTCTATTCCCTGTTACCCTGGTTTCCCTCAGGCACAGACTCTGAACAGAATCCCACAATCTGACTTGTGCCCTTTGGTTGGCATGATTCACCTGCAGTACCATGTGGTTCATTTGACTCATGAGATGTCAAGGGAGCAGGATATCAACTATGTATAATCAGAAAAAAAAACAAGCTGTAAAGAAAACATGAGGAACAGATTTGAACAGAGAAGGAAACATGGACTGAAATAAAAATTGACAATGCTGTAATGCAGAGTAGGCCCACCAGTACTTACAACTGGAAAGATAGGCTTTCCTATCAGGGCAGTGGGCCCTTTGTCAAAACCCGGTTGTGCTAAGGAAAATTATGCCCAAATATATCTTCTTTTGAATGTCTCTTGTGTTCCCTGTGAGTGTGTCACTAATTGAGCATTTGAGCGGCAACTTTCAGGACAGAGACTCCATCGTTGCCCATGGCTATTATGCGTTAAAACGAAACAAAATAATTTGCAGTAGGATACTTCTTGCATGATCATGCCATTGAAAACCTTCATAACAATGAACAAATAAACCAAGGGTGTAACCATGAGCACTGTTAAGGTGTAAGTGTACTTCAGCTCTGTTGCTGATTCAGTTTCACTCTGTCATTTCATATCATTTACGATTCCTCTATTGAAATTGTGTTTTTGTTTGTTTTTATTTTGGCCACAGCCTGGTATCCAAATCAAAGGTGACATCCTCAAACTTGACTAGTTGGGTGAGGAACTGTATAAAAGAGGAAGGAAATTTGCTGTTTTGTTTTCAGTCGGACACAGTTTGCAGAAGAGAGCCGTTTCTTAAGGGATTGAAAAATGATCGATCCTTCAAAGTACGTTGCCATTGATTGCGAGATGGTGGGACTTGGACCCAATGGCTTTGAGAGTGGCCTGGCACGGTGCAGCATTGTGGACTACAGTGGGACTGTGATCTATGACAAATTTATTAAACCAGATGGGAAGATAACTGATTTCAGGACCCCTGTGAGTGGGATTCGTCCGTTAGATATGGATACAGCTTTGCCTTATCCTATCGCCAGGGAGGAGGTAGGCTTTGCATTTTTATCCATATAAACAATGTGCTTGTGATGTTATGATTCACTTCAATGGCCTTTCCAATGCTCGTAGCTCCCTTTCCTACAGTGAAATCACTCTACACAAAAGAGTAACTAGGACCCATTTAATTGAGAGACGAAGTGAGGGTGGCACAGTGGCTCAGTGGTCAACACTGCTACCTCACAGCACCAGGGACTGTCTGTGTGTGGAGTTTGCACATTCTGTCCTTGTCTGCGTGGGTTTCCCACAGGTGCTCTGGTTTCGTCCTCTAGTCCAAAGATGTGTGAATTAGGTGGATTGGCCATGCTAAATTGCTCATAGTGTCCAGAAACATGCTGGCTAGGTGGATTAGCCATAGGAAATGCAGGGTTACAGCAATAGGGTAGGGTGCGTGAGTCTGGGTGGGATGCTCTTTGAAGCGCGGTATGGACTTGATGGACCGAATGGCCTGCTTCCGCACTCTGAGGATTTGATGACTTTAAAGTGAAATCTCAATTGTAAAATGTTCACTGACACTGTAGATGCTGAAAGAGCTAAGTGGCAACAGGTTTGGGTTTTAAAAGCCGATGGAGTTGAAAATGATGGAAATTGGTCTCTAAATTGGAAGAGAAGCCAAGATTTTTAAAAAGTTTGCTAATGATATAAAACATGTAAGTGAAGTAATTGTAATGAGGTCAGTCAGATGGACTTCCTGACACTCTGAGAGCTGGTTCTGAGGAAGATGGATCAGTGTCAAGGACTCTTCACGTGTAAATAAAGGGGGACTAGGTGACGGGATACAGGTCTCTGTGGAGTTATTTCAGTAAGAACTTGAACCTAGGCGTGAGAGTTTTTTATTCAGCTCATCACCAAAGCTACATAGATTGGAGACAAACTAAATCAGAAAGGATTAAGGGTGTCAAGTGTTGGTTTTGAAAGTCTGTAGCTTGTAAGAAGGAGATGGAGGGAGGGACAGGAGAAGTTCTACATTTCTGAGATCAGTGGAAAATATGCGTCAGATTAGGGCATTCATGTGATGTTTCTTGGTTTCCATGGACAAAGTTTGCAAACTAAATAGAAAACTAAAAGTTGGAACAATTCCAATGTAATGTTTTGACCAAAATATGTGCAGTACAGGAATAAGATATGGCCATACATGATGATTCTGCTGGAGATATACAGAGGGGCCACTTGGTCACACTCTGAATCCATATTATATAAACAAAGCCACATAGAACACGGTTAAAGAGGTATAAACAAATTTAATTGCATGAACATTAAGGTAATGCCTTTTTGGTTTAAGTGCTTGGAATTATTTTCACTAGAAATAGAAGGGCAATCTCACTGTGGTCATTAAGATTATTAAAGAATTTGGCAGGGTAAATGTAGGGAAGATGTTTCCACCTGTGGACAAAACCAGAAAAGGGGGCATCATAAATATAGGACAACGGTAAATCCAACTGGGAATTCAGAGGAGACTTCTTTTAACCAGAGAGTGGTGAGAATGTGGAACTCACTCCTCAGGGAGTTGTTTGCATAGATCCCTTTTAGAGGAAGCTAGGTAAATACCTGACGAAGAGGAAATAGAAAAATATATTGCAGCGTTGAATGGAAATGACTCAGAGGTACCACATGGAGTACAAGAGGAAGGAAGTGATTGTGTAAGACACTGTTAAACCTCAGCTGGAGTATTCTGTACAGTTCTGCGCGCTACATTATAGGAAGGACATGAATGTATTGGAGAGAGTGCAGAAATGATTTATGACAATGGTTTCAGGACTGAGGAACTTCAGTTATGAGGATAGATTGAAAAAGTTGGGTCTTTTGTCCTTGGAGAAAAGACTAAAAGGAAATCTGATAGAGGATTTCAAAATCATGAGTGGGCTGAATACAATGGATAGGGCAAAACTGTTCCCACTTGTAAAAGGAACATGGATGAGAGGGCATAGATTTAAAGTGATTTGCAGAAGAAGTAAGGGTAATGTGAGGAAAAGCTTTATCACTCAGTTAACGGTTAGGTAATGGAATGCACTGCCTGGAATTGTGGTGGAGGTAGGTTCAATTGAGGCATGCGTTGGATGAGTATTTGGATAGAAATAGTGTTCAAGGGCGTGGGGCAAAATCAGGAGATTGGCACTTGGTAATGATGTCCATTCAAAGAGCCAGTTCAGATACAATAAGCTGAATGACCCCCCTCTGCACCTTAACACTCAGTAATTCTGGTTGTGAAGATAACATGAATTGTGTAAGTGCCTGTTCTTTCTGCTAATGAAGAGTTCATTAATTTTATTCAGATTTTGAAGATTATACAAGGGAAAATTATTGTGGGCCACGATCCTAGATCTGACTTCCGAGTCCTGAAAACGGACATCTCAGATTATGCCATACGGGACACATCTTCGTGCAAGTTACTGATCATGAAAGCAAGACTGAAAACTGACAGACGTGCCTCGTTAAAAAGCCTCTGCCAGAACTTACTGGGGAAAAGGATACAGGTAAATGCGCACTATGTAACGGGCACCAGCTATACTTGGCAACTTTCTTCCCTAACTTTTTTCTCTGTTTGCTTCAAGTGCTGTAAGTCACTACGCCGTTTTATCCTCATGCACTCGCTCCTAAAATCATAAAATGCAAGAATATTGGAAAAAGGAGCAGGAGGACACTAGTCAGCCCTTGGAGTCCACTTTGACATTTAATGAAGTCAGGGCTGTTCTTTTGTTTGGACTCCATTTTCCTGCACAATTCCCATATCCTTTTGTCTTGAATATGTAGAAACCTATTATATGGTCCAACTAGTCCATGCTGAGCATAATCCCAAGCTAAACTAGTCCCAACTGCCTGCGCTTGGCCCATATCCCTCCAAACCTTTCCTATTCATGTAATTATCCAAATCTCTTTTAAATGTTGTAATTGCGCCCACATTCCACCATTTCCTCAGGAAGTTCATTCCACACACGAACCACCTTCAGTGTAAAAAAATTCCTCCTCATGTGTTTTTTAAATCTCTTTCCTCTCACCTTAACAATGTGTCCCCTAATCTTAAGATTCCTCCATCTTCGGAGGAAAAAAACCAACCATTTACCCTATCTATAGCCCTTATGATTTTATAAACTTCTATAAGGTCACCTCTCAATGTCCTGAGCTCCAGTGAAAAATGTTCCAGCCTATCCAGCCTTTCTGTATAACTCAAACCTTCCATACCCTGTAACATCCTGGTAGATGTCTTCTGATTCCTCACCAGCTTGATAATATCCTTCCAATAACAGGATAACCAGACTGGACACAGTACTCCAGAAGAGGCCTCACCAATATCCTGTACAAGTTGTTGACTTGCTTGCCGAGCTGGCTTATTTTCAATCAGACATTTCAACACCATACTAGGTGACATCATCAGTGACTTCAAGTCAAGTCAAGTGCAACTTGGCCTCAATTTATGTCAATAGTTCATTAACTTTTGATTTTCTTCTCACTCTTGTCAAATCTTTTACATTTGGGCTCCCTAGACTCCTCACTAATTAAAAGAGAGTTAATTTGTCTCTTTCCTTTTCCCAAGGATGATTCTGAGCTTTGACCCTGCTTGGATCCTCTTGTTTGTCCTCTCTTACTGTCTCCCCTCTCATTCTTCCTCTCCACTCACTCTCTCTGTGAATACAGCTTTAAACTGAATCGTTGAGGGGGGAGGTGGGAATGGTTCAGTTGCATGGAAAAATCTGGAAAAAGTTGAGGGAGGGCTAGGACAGAGAAAAAGGCAAGGCTCGGGCCTCCGAGCAGTGGCCAGGAGAAGAAAATAAATGAGGTAGAAAAAGTATGTAAGAAAGGCAGTATTACAATAATCATTTGGGGCCTTCAATACACCTTTGGATTGGGAAAAGCAGGTCAGTAGTGAACCTCAAGCAAGGGATTTTGTGGAATGTCTATGGGATGGTTTTTTGGAGCAGCTTATAGCAGAGCCCACTAGGGAACAGGCAGTTCTGGATTTGCTGATATCTAATGAGATTTGACTTGATTAAAGTGATGGAACCCCGTAGTGGGCAGTGACGATAATATGATAGAATTCACCCTTACAATCTGAGAGGGAGGAGCTGGCCAGAGTTGAATGGAAGGGGAGCCTAGCAGGGAAGACAGTGGAGCAGCAATAGCAGGAGTTTCTGGAGGTAATTCAGGAGGCACAGCAGAAATTCATCCCAAGGAAGAAGAAACATACTATAAGGGGAGGATGAGGCAGCCATGGCTGACAGGGAAGTCAATAACAGAATAAAAGAAAAGGCATACAATGTGGTGAAGATTAGTGGGAAGCCAGAGGATAAAAATCAGCAGATGGATAACTAAAAAAGCAATGAGGGGGAAGAAGATGAAATATGAGGGTGATTAAAACTAGCTAGTTATGTAAAAGAAGACTGCAAGAGTATTTTACATATATAAAAGGGAGGGGAGAGGCAAGAGTGGACATTGACTGCTGGAAAATGAGGCTGGAGAAGTGATAATGGGGAACAAAGAAATGGTGGAGGAACTGAATAGATGTTTTCATGGTGGAAGACACCAGCAGCATACCAGCACATCAAGAGAGTTTGGCGGGGGGAGGGTGCTGAGGTGAGTATACAGGCCATCACTAAGGACAAGGTGCTGGGGAAGCTGAAAGTCTGAAGGTGGGTAAATCACCCAGACTGGATGGACCACACCCCAGAGTTCTGAAGGTGATAGCTGAGGGGATAGTAGAGGCATTGATGGCGATCTTTCAGGAGTCAGGGAGGGTCTCAGAGGACTGGAAAATGACTAGTGTAATACCCTGTTTAAGAATGAAGGGAGGCAGAAGACAGGAACCTATGGGCAAGTTAGCCTGACCTTGGTCGTTGGTAATGTTTTAGAATCCATTTTTAAGGATGAGATTGCAGGGTACTCGGAAATGTATGGTGAAGTAAGGCTGAGTCAGTACGGCTTCATCAAGGGGCAAGTCATGCCTGACAAATCTATTAGAATTCTTTGAGGAGGCAACGAGCAAGTTAGACAGAGGAGAGCCAGTGGATGTGATCTATTTGGATTTCCAGAAGGCCTTTGATAAAGTGCTGCACATGAGGCTGAGAAATAAGATAAGAGCATGAGAGGTGTTAGCACCAAGGCACTGGCATGGATAGGGGACTGGCTGACTGTCAGAAGGCAGAGATTATGGATAAAGAGCTATTTTTCAGGATGACAGCTGCTAACTAGTGAAGTTCTGCAGGGGTCAGTGTTGGGACCACAACTGTTCATGTTATACATCCATGATCTGGACAAAGGAACTTAGGGCATCGTTACTAAGTTTGCAGATGACACAAAGATATTTGGAGGGACGGGTAGTGTTTAGAAAATGGGGAGGTTGCCGAAGGACTTGGTCAGGCTAGGAGAGTAGTCAAAGAAGTGGCAGATGGAATACAATGTGGGAGAGTGTGAGGTTATGCACTTTGTAGGAAGAATAGAGGCGTATGCTATTTCCTAAATGAGGAAAGGCTTTGGAAATCTGAACCACATAGGTATTAGGAGTCCTAGTTCAGGATTCTCTTAAGGTTAATATGCAGGGTCAGTTGGCAGTTAGAAAGGCAAATGTAATGTCAGCATTAATTTCGAAAGGGTTGAAATACAAGAGTAGGGATGTACAGCTGAGGCTGTATAAGGCTCTGGTCAGACCACATTTGGAATATTGTGAGCAGTTTTGGGCGTCATTGCTAAGGAAGGATGTGCTGGCATTGAAGGGGGTCCAGATGAGGTGTACAAGAATGATCACTGGGTGAAAGGGATTGTCATATGAGGAGCAGTTGAGGACTCTGAGTTTAGAAGGATGATGGAGGATCTGATTGAAACTTACAGAAACCTGAGAGGCCTGGACAGAGTGGACGTGGAGAAGGTATTTCCACTTGTGGGAGAGATTAGGACACAAGGACACAGCCTTGGACTGAAGGGATGACCCTTTAGAACTGAGATTAGGAGGAATTTTCTCAGGTGGTGAATCTGTGGAGCTTATTACTGCTGAAGGCTATGGAGGCCAAGTCATTGAGAGCCTTTAAGACAGATAGATAATTTCTTAATTAGTAAGGGACTCAAGGGTTACAAGGAGGAGGGGGGAGAATTGGGTTGAGAAATACATCAGCCAAGACTGAATGATGGAACAGACTCAGCGGGCCAAATGGCCTTATTCTGCTTCTATACCTGACGGTCTCTCCTCCCTTGTTTTCTCTTTCACTCCCTTTTATTTATCTTCTTGTTCTCTTTCTGTCTCCTTTTTTCTCTTGTTCTTACTCTTTCTTCTTCATCTCTGCTTCGTTCTTTCTCACACATTCTCTCTTTCTGTATGCATGTGTGCTGCTGCAAAGGGATGTATGTGAATTAGCGGTGCTTAAGCAGTCAGGTTACATTTATGCCATTATTCATGCTGGAGATTTTACGGGTGACATGGAGCCTTTTGTATTGTAGCTTATGGAAATGCTTAAAAATATTTTGTTTTTTAGATTTTAAAGAAATATTTTGAAACAGGATCAGAAAATGATGAATGTCTAATGGGTCAGTTGGTATCTGAAAGCAAATGCAAGGTTAACCTTTCTGCTGGAACTTTTACCAGACATTGTATTTATTTTATCACAGGCTGTGGGTAGCACTGACAAGACCAGCAGTTTTTACCCCGTACATAATTACTCTCAAGGAAATGATGGTGAACCTCCATCTTAAACTCATGCTGGTGTAGATACATCCACAGTGCTGTTGAGGGTGAGTGGGAGAGTTCTGGGGAGTGCGATATATTGTCCTTCGAAGGGCAAATGCCAGCATTTCCTGAGTGTTCAAGAAAAGAGTCATGTCCAACTGAACTAACTGCACAGAGTCCCATCACCAAGTCACCCTTTATTTACATGTGCACAGTACATGGGCTCTGACCAGCCAGCTCACAGCCAGTCCCTAGAATGAAGAGACTCTCCAAATCTCCTGTTTATATCTGTCAGCCAGGGCTCCCTGATTGGCCCAGGTTAACAAATCCAATCGAGGATCTCATAGTCAATGGATCCACCTGGCCCTGGTTCCAATCACTAACCAAACTCAAAATGTTAACTCTTTTTCTCTCGCTACAGATGTTGCCAGATCTGCTGAGCTTCTCCGGCATTTTGTGTTTGTGTCGGCCTTGCCCTCTTCCTTTCAACTGTTCCAACTCTCTGTTGAGAGAACTTTGCCTTTCTGCATAGGAGTCTTTGAACTCCCTTCTAAACAGCACTATGGTTGACCCTACACAACATGGTATACAGTGGTTCAAGAAAGCAGCTCACGTTCACCTTGTCAAAGACAACTAGGGATGGATAATAAATGTTGGCCCAGCCAGTAACGCTCACATCCCATAATTGAATTCAAAAACTATGATAAGGCAGATCAGCTTTCAAGAAAGTAATATGTTAGTTAGCCAGTATCAGCCTAAAAATCTTGAATGAAAGCAAAGTACAAAGTATGAGTCATACTACACTTAAAATGTTAATTCACTCTGCTTCTCTCTCCATAGATACTGCCAGTATTTCTCCAGCATTCCCTGTGTTAGTTTTGGTTTAAAGTACTTCCAGATCAACTTCAGTTGAGATTAAATACACAGTAAATCTCTCTCCCTATCTTGTTCCATCAAGTACTCCCAAGTAAGATAAGGTTTCAGTCAGGTGCTCTGTAGAACTCTGCACAGCCCCAACAACATGATTGAATCTTGGTTTCAACTGAAGGTGCACTTAACAGAACCAAAGTGCAGTTTCCACTCTGAGACCTCTACTGACTGCTGTAGTCTTTCCCTTTAACAGGACAGCTACAGAGGACACTCCTCTGTCGAAGATGCGAGTGCGGCTATGGAACTTTTTAAACTCGTGGATATAGTGTGGGAACTGCACCTCCGTGAGGGACGCAGAGTGGAGATAGTGAACCGATTTGAGAATCGAAACAGATATCAGTGAATAAAACAGCATTGCCAGAATACGGAAAGGAACTCTGATTTTCGTGTATCACAACGAACATGGAATGGTGTCTGCTGTTAACTCAAGATCAACAAGATGCATTGCATTGTTTCATTTTTCTCTCTGTTTACATTTTCTGTTGCTTCCTTCCTGAATTGCAGTTTTAGTCTCCACATTCAAGTGGTTTGCTGTGTGTGACCCCAGACTATTAGCCTGCTGACAGGCAGGGCTGGAAGGGTGGGGACTGCTTCACAGTTGATCCCAACATCTCCACCCCTTTACAATCCCGCATCCTCTTCAGGAGCCACTGGGAGGCGATCAGGAGCATGAACCCTGCCTGATTATTGATCCACGCCCTCAGCCCTCCTGTCTTTAGCTCAGGGATTTGGGGCAATTGCAATGACTTTACTTGTGTCCTCGTTACTGTGGATTAAACATGGACCAGGGTGGTGTTGGGGAGGAGGGTGGGGGAAAGGTGAAGAGAGAGAAGGATGGTGGACCTTTTGTTCTGTCCAACACAATACATCACATTCGGTAGTTCATTCAATCATTGAGGCATGGAGGATGTTTTAATGCAGCTGCTCCTGAATAGATTACAAGAGCTCTTATTAGATCTGTTCTTAAAGACTTGTATGTGTGTGTGTGAATTTTGTGCTTCTTGGGATGAGGGGAAATGTCAATGCTGGTAAAGGTCACATTTATCTATCTGAGGCACCTCCATCAGAAACAAGCACTTCCTAGGCCAAGGTTATCATCCATTTAACATCGACTCGTTTTGAAGCAACTTCACTCTGTCACGCTGGATTGTTTACGTACTCATTGCTGGACAGTCTGTTTATTAATTTGACAAAAGTCTTTTGCGATCGTATATAAAATTACATCGGATAAACAGCACAGAAACAAGGAATTCATTCCATCCTGTCTGTGCTGCGCCCCACACTGACCCATTTGTCCTCATCTAAAGCTACATTTGCAACCCTCTGTTCCCTTCTCCCTCATATTTTGATTGTTTCGCCTTAAATTTGCTGATAATGTTCCCCACAACCTCTCCTGGTGGTAGCGAGTCCCACATTCTCGCCACTCTTGGGTAAAGAAGTTTCTTTCTCTTGAGCTCCCCCCCCACCAGCCTCACTGGATTTCTTGGTGACCATCCTGCATTGGTAGACTCTAGCTATGCTCTTCCCCACTGTTTGTTGCAATGTTATCCACTCTTGTTAAAGACTTTTGCAATTTTGATGATCTCTATTAGGTCACCGTTTAGTCTTCTTTTCAAAAGAAGAAACCCAGCTTGTCAATCCTTTCAGAGAT